GTGTTGTTCAGCATGGGGGTGAGTAGAAAATGAAGGCTAATCATGTTTTGGGTGTACTATTCCTTTAAGATAGGTGTCTGTGTTGTAAACTGTTTCTAAACAACAGGAAACAGGAAAGACACTGAGCCTGGAGGTTTTCTCCTGTTCAAAGGAAGCTTTTTCTCTCCACTGTCGCAACAAGCATGCTTGGTGTAAGGGATTGCTTTTGAGTCAATGAGTCAATGCAATTAACTGGTTTTCCTTGGATAGTAAACTTTGAACCAATTTGACTGTATGATCTGGTTGAATTGTAAAGTGCCTTGAGATTACATGTGTTGTGAATTGGCGCTATAGAAATAAACTGAATAAAAATGAAACTTAAAGTATACAAATCACAAAATAACTGCTTTTACATTGATTTAAACCTCAGGGCATTAAGAAACTTCCAGAAGAATGTTTTGTAAAGGTCTTCACACCATTTCATGCATTTCCAGAAACAAACTATAGTCTATATAATGTCACAGAGTAGTATCTTGGCATAAGGTGGCTGCTAAATGATGCAGAGCTTTTTAATATTTCTACTAATAAAAACATCTGGTTCATACATATCCGTTTTAGCCCTAAATAAAACCCTGAGCAACTAACTATCCTCATGCTCTGTTAATCAGTGAATAATTCAGTCTCTCTATGAATCCAGCTTAGCGTTCACAAGAGAACTAATCATGTAGACAGAGGATTGCTGTGAAAAGATCAGAGGAAAGTAGTGGAAAAGGTTTGAAGCACAGCTTGGTTAGAAAACAATAACTCCAACATCACATAACCGTCAACTGACTGCCTGAACTCTGGAGCAGGTGCAGAGATCCACCGTTCAGGAGGGAGACGTTGTGAGCGGGACAACTATACGCTTCTCAATGCAAAATGCAACGTAATGCATGATAAAACAATTAGCACTTCACATCTTTATTTCTATGACGAGGTATGGAGGTGGCAGCATGATGTTGAGGGGTTGATTTCCTTCAGCAGGGATAGAGAGTTTAGTTGGAGCTTCTGAGATAGAAAGAGATCCAGGATGATGCCCAGTTAGAGGCGGGAAAGCGGTTAGTAGGTCTGAGCCAACCTGAAGCCTCTGCTACAAGTTGCTACTGCAAAAAATGTCATAAGCTATTGCAACATGGTTCATAGAGGTGTTAGCTTAAATGGGCTTGATAAAAATAGCAGCAAATTCTTATGTGTAAAATAGTTTCTGTCACTTTAAAATAATACTATACATTGATTTGGTCTATCAGATAAAATCCCCCCAAAATACATTGCGGCTTGCAAAGGTCGTATCAAAAACCTCAAGGAGATGAATCGGTATAAATTCTTTTGAAATATTAAACAAACAAATCAGTTATCAATAATGATTAAAACCGTGCAAAGCCAGCTGCTCACCTCGTTCAGTAGTCAGGCCCACCCCGTTGGTCAGAACTGAGAGGCCCGGGTTGTTGAGGAGCGTAGAACTGGCCAGGTCCACTTTGGAGGCCTGCAGTCGGAACTTCTCCAGCTCCTGGGACAGCAGGCCAAACTGCTCACTCTGACTGCGACATTTCTCCTCCAGCTCTCGTACCTTTGACTTCATGCAACATGGAGACATTTAAGGAACAGGCGTGAACAGGGAGTGAACGCAAATGTTTCAGCATCATTAGGTGGGGCCTTCATGTCATGATAGTAAATAAATCAAAAGGGAACATCCATTTAAATCTGCTGTTTTAAGGATCCAACACTACAAAAATGACTGAAAGTACAACTCTGCATACATCACATTGTGGTACTCTGCATATCTCTTGTACTTTAACCCTTTCTGTCACTTCCAACAGCAAAACTGACTGTATTTTATTCTCTATTTAACAGACCAACACAAAGTAAAGCACAACTGTAAAATAAAGGAAAATGATACGTTTAATTAGTATTTTTTGGGGAGGAAAAAAAAAACCCTAAAGAAATATGGAGTGTGTCTGGATTCAGCTTTAAAATCTCCTCCT